GCTGTCTATGTAGCACATCACACTCATGTCTCCTGACCCGTCATACAGTGCCTCAGAAATCAGCGCAGCCAAAAGGACAGCTGCATCAGCACCATCTTGAAGTGCCATGCACTCTGCAGCCAACGTACTTCTCACAATGCGCTTGATCTTTGCTGAAGACCAGGCAAGTGGCGCGCATCTTCCCCTTTTGTCTCTAAGGAACACAACGTATCCTCCCTGCGAGGACCCATCTGGAAGATTGCCGTAACTCGCATCGCTGTACACTACCACCGAGCTCTGTGACAAGTCCAGATGAGGATATTTCAGACTAACCCGCGCCGACTGAGCCTTTCGAACTACCTTAGCAGCCCTTTGTAGATCAGCTACCTTTGGATCCCTAATGGAACAAGAGAGATCACAAACATCAAATGAAAGATCTGGTCTTGTCTGCGTGGCCAGCCAATTGATTTGTCCTGTCACGCCACGGAGGCGGGTAAGCTCTGCAGGAGAGAGCTCACTGTCTTTCTGCATTCGCCTCTCTGGTGAGAGATTTGGCTCTTGCAGCTCCTCAGCCTGCGGCATCTGGTGAACCTTGATCACCTTATCAGACTGCTGGTGAATGTGCAGCCCAAGGTACTTGAAGATTTCAGATTCCTCAGAACCCAGGAGGAAGACCTGCCGCAGCTTCTCGATCACCTCCTTCTCGAACCTTGAGGAACCACACCACAGGAAATCGTCCACATGACAGGTGATGATGCCCTCAAGGCCGTCCTCAGCTCTCCAGTAGAAAAGCGCCGCATCAAGTTTGCTGGCCACCATTCCCAGTGCGAGGAGCTCCCGTCTGACACGCAGGTACCAGTACCTGCTGGCATCATTCAGGCCATACACGCACGTCTTCATTTTCCACACATGTGACCCTGCGTTAGCCTCAGAAGGCGGGCGCAAGAACACCTCGCGTTCGAGAGGAGAACCCTGAAGGAACGCTGCCTTCACGTCGATACTATGACAGCTCCAACTCTGTGAGGCTGCAATGGCGAGCACCACCCTTAGTGACTCCTTCCCGCACGTTGGCGAGTCAGTCTGGACTCCAGATGTGTCCTCCTCAAAACCTCTGGCAACAAGTCGAGCCTTGATGCGTGAGCTACCATCAGGATTACCTTTTTCAGTTATCACCCAGCGGCAGCTGATACAGTGTTGTCCTTCATCGGGAACAGCGGAATACACCTCATTCTTTTCCCAGTTTTCTAACTCACACAATTTAGCCGCCATGATGTCATCCGAGGTGCACACCAGTACGTCTTGATTCAAAGGCTTCCAGTCATCAACATCCCGCCAGTCTACACATTTGCCAACTTCATCACCATCGTCAAGAACATTCAAAAAGGATTTGTACTTCCCTTTGGCTTTCCCAGCACGACTCAGGACTGTGGCACTCTTCCAATCAGAGGAATCACGAAGAACATAGGTAATGCGCGACTTAGCGCGAGGTATCGAGGGTTTGTCACGAACGACGACGCCACCACCGACCACGACACTGGAATCTCCGGTGGCATGAGCTGGCGAACTGGGTTCCGGACCAGAGCCACCATCACTGTCCATGGCATTGGACTCTCTGGTAGCCTGAGCTAGCGATCCGGGTTCCGAACCAGAGCCGCCTTCGACATCTTGCAGACCGCCAGTGGGTGATACCGTCACCAACTGGCGTTGTCTTGCGTCCCCAGACACCGTACACGAAGTAGACCTGGAGTTCTGCTCATCATCATCGGAGTCTTCAGCAGACTCCGGGATCGGAGCACTACTGATCTTCTCCAACTTCTGGGTCCCTGGAGCCGGATCCGAAGTTGACATCCGGCCTCGCTTTGTCAGTTCCCGCGGCTCACTTGTGTCGCGCACGACAGCGCTTGTGTGACACCTGTAGTACACGCCGCCATGTTTCACCAGGATCTGCTTGTTTTCCTGTCCAATGACGACACCTGGACCTCGCCACTTGTCATCTTGGTGACGTCGGTACAGGACGACATCACCCGAGCAAAACCTCTCACCACTGGGACGGACCTGGTGAAGAAGTGCTCTCTGCAACTTCTCGCTCGACTCGTTCTGAATGAACGTCTGCCTGGCAGAATGCATGGCGTTCAGGTGTGTCCTCACCAAATCACTTCCGGAAGGAGGTCCCAGAGCCGGAGGTTTGTCATGGAGACACGCCGGGTTGTTCGGATTTCGCCCAAACACAAGCTGATTAGGACTGAATCCCAGGTGAGTCTCAAGAGAGTTCTTGGCTGACACAGCCCAAGCCAGAGCAACCTCGAGAGAGCATGGAGTGTCATCCATCACCTTCTTCACTGTGCTGGCGATGATACCGTTGTACTTCTCATTGATCCCATTCGACCAAGGGGATTCTGCAGCAGTAGTCCGCACGCGTATGTTGAACGCCTCGGCCATCTCTCGGAACTCTTCATTGTTGAACTCACCTCCATTATCAGACAAGAACTGACCGGGTGCCCCGAACCTAGCTATCCACTCAGTCATGATTGCACGCAGGATCGTTTGCTTGTCTTTGTTTTTCACTACCACGCACGCACTGTACCTCGTGGCCAGATCTATCATGTGGCAAAACCATACTCCAGGTCCCCACTGCTTTAGATCCAGCGCAACGACATCATTGAAGTCGCGAGCCATCCCAAAACCAACCACTGGTCGGGGCAGACATCTCCTATACCTCTTACATACATCACAGGTTTCCTCCACTGAGACAAGCATGCGAAAGAAATCCTTGTCCTGGACGCCAGCATCAAGACACAGGGACTGCAGTTTCACACTCCTAGGATGACCGAACTGACGATGCAACTTCCTAGCTATTTGCATGCGCTCCTTCTCGTTGGCACCCTCAAACTTTGAACAAAAAAGTACCTGCTCTATGTCCTGCCTGGCACTCACACTACCGACATGAAACTTCGCCACAGGTACTATGTAGTGGCCATTTGAGGTCACAGATAGCTTGACCTCAGTGTCAAACAGTACCGCCGTGTCTCGGGAAAAATCTAGCAGCGCATCACACTTCTTCAGCGACTCCTTGCTGAGGAGTAAAGGTATCTCATAGGGAACCACATCAGCAGCCACGCGCACCGTCTTACCGGCTACCAGTGCTGGAAACGTTACTTTCTTTAGAGAAGTAACCTTCTCACCATCCCCAAATCTAAACGTTGTGCTGCTGGGCTCCTCTACCACTCGCTCCGCGTCATCTGAAGACATGGCATCCAAGTGACATTTGTACCACACCTCACCACACACGGTCTTACTACATCCACTATCGATGATACCATAGCCTAGTGTTTCGCCCAGCAGTCCCTCCGTCTTTGAACGTTCAGTTGGTCCACTTTCACATGTATCCCTCGCAAACAACGTCACGAATACCTCCTCGTCCTGTGTGGGGTCATGGCTATCATCGTCACAAGCAGACGCCTCGAACACCTCACCGCGATCGGGGCAATCTCTGGCCCAGTGAAACCAAGAGTTGCACACTGCACAGGTGGTCACATTACCCCTTAAATCCCGTGGATTCTGCCTAGATCTAGCCCTTGTGCGCTGGTTGGCGGATTGTCCAGCAGATCCAGGATCTCTCGAGCCGCCACGTGAAGTCCAGGTAGTCCCACTGCCACGCAGAGGCGGTCGTGAGGCGAAGCGCGGTCCACCACTTCGTCCTCTTCGGTTGAAACCTCGTCCGACACTCTGTGCTCTGCCTCGCTGAACGAAGAGAGTGTCGGCCGCCTGGCCGAGCCCTGGTTCTGCGACTGTATCCACGGGCTCGACTTTTACTGCCACTCTCGCTGACGGCACACCCTGAGAACTACTGTCTGTGAAGATCTTCTTCAGCTGGGTTTGCATGTTTGCATATGTGAGCGACGGCAGAGTTGCCCTTGCTAGCTGTTGATGTGCATCTGAAAGGTTAGCACTGCGAATGAGTCTGTACGCTAGAACACCATCAGGCAACTCCAGCTTGTAGTGCTTTGCCTTCTGATACAGTCTTTCAAATGTGTTGATGTACTCAAACACAGACATGCCAGATGGTCGCTCATATCTCTCGAACGCATCATATGCCTCAAAGGCTGCATTGTTCTCATCTTTCAAGAACAACTCGTCCAACTTCTCTATGAGAGCATCAAGTCCAGTATCACTGTTCAGAATCTCTATTGACACCTCACGGGCTGCATCTCTGGCAGATCCACTTAAGGACAGGAACAGTGCTGGTCCCAACTTGGACTTCTCCAAGCTAGTGAAAGCTTTCCACACTTTGATCTCATGCTTCCACTCTGAATATGGCAAATCTTGACGCATAGGTGGTGGGGCTTTGAAATCTCTAGATGCCATCTTGTAACCACGCTCTGCTACCAATGTTCAATTCACAAAGATCAATATCTCTTGAGCGTGCATTTATTTAAGCCCCACCACAAACTGAAAGGTAAATGAAGACAGTATGAGTAAGGCATAGCACGGGATGCATAGCGCGGGATGCACATGCACATGCCAAACACATGCGGAAACCAGAGACACATGCGCATGCTCAAGACCGTGCACATTTACGTATACATATACAGCACATCAGGAATGTAAACAATTAAACTAACAGTAACAGCTTGCTCATGATTCAGTTTAACGCCCCAGATTCCAGAATAGTTCTCAGCCAGGCCCGAGTTACCCTCCACAGCAAGTGCTCGGTGATCTAATGGGTGTCAGTAACTGACTGGAAATAAGCCGCGATGAACCATGGCCCATGGCTCGTCGCGTTATGGTATCGAACCGTCCGCAAGACCGGGGAGATATCAGAGGGACTAACCAAACGTAATGTAGAAATGCGGGTTGTGGGAGATCGGTGTGAGACGAAACGTACGAACCGATCGAGTCGTTCCGTAATGGGCGTGTGTCGTGAAGGCACGGACGCTGTGAGGCGTCATGTTGTAGCATGTGTTCCTTTTGAGCACACTTCTTTGTCCATGACTCGCGGGCATTGTTCGCCACCACACACATAACGTTTATTCGTATATTTTCTCGGTTTAAGCGCCCACCTTTCCACTGCCACACACCCGAACAGCGGAAACACATGCATGCAAACTAAGCGATTATTTTCATAATTAAATAATCAACGCAGAACATCGTGACAACAATATGACGCGGACCCATCGGGCGGACACGCACACCTGACGGCCGAGAACCAGTCGCTAAAAGATCCAGGAGCTTTGTACGGCCTTCTGAGGGCCCTGAGCGGGCGAGCCTGCTCGGCGCGGCGTTCAAAGGGATGCGGTCCGGCACGCTTCTGAGCTCGCCCTGGATAACAGGCGCCTGTCCGCCCAGTACAGTCCACTGGCGTTCCGTCCCGTCGTCACCCTCGCACACCGCCTGACTCGCCCGGCAAGCTGATTATGTTCGCGGATAAGCTCTAGTGGTGACTAGCCCCAGGCTGGGCGGCGGGTACAAAAGCCTGCAGCGCCCCGCGCCGACATCTAACGTACACACGACACCCGGAGACGGAGGGACAGTGGGTACCACCGCGCCCGTCCGCTCGGCCGGCCGGTGCCAGTCTCAGTGCTGTAAGTTCGGACTCGGCCGGCCAGGCTATCGACAGCCTGACACACATTCGCGCGCCCACACAGACAGACAAACGGCGGCTCGGTAAGCTCGATCTCGGCACACCGCCTCACACTGAGGTCCTCGGTCTGCACTGATACGGCCAGTTCGAGCCACTCAGCAGGTCATCGTTCTCCCAGCGACAATAAGGCAATGGCTGGCTCCAGCGTCCCACGCAGGCGGTGGTCCATCGCGGGACCGACCGCAGCGCCGCGGCTTCCCCGCGGCAGCGCAACAAACTTCAGTTATTCCACCCGGCCACCAGGTGACAGTGTGCTCAGCTCTCGGCGCACTGTCGGCTCTGCTCGGTCGGCACATTGTTGTTGTTGAGCGCCGCCTCCTTCTCTCGCTCGAACACCAGGCTCTCCAGCTTTGCGATGCCGTTGCGCGGTTTGGTGGCACGAATGGCGTCGGCCGGCGGCGGGGAGCGGGCCGGCGACGCGCTGGCACGGTCCGGGCTGGCCGCCGTCAGCGGGGAGCTGTCGGCGTGGGGAGAGGCCTGTCGGCCGGCGCTGTCCGCCTCCGTCTCGGCCGACGGCGGCTCGGAGTCGGAGTGACGCGGACTCTTCTCAGCAGCGGCGTCACCAGGACCGTCACCAGCACCGGCACTGTCAGTGGTGTTGGCGTCGGCAGCGGCTGGAGCGGCGATCGGAGCGCCCGTGGTCGGGGCAGCCGCGCCGGGCGCCGCTGCCGAGGCGGCGGCCGCAGCAGCAGCCTCGTTCTCAGCCTTCTTCCACTTGGTGCGCCGGTTCTGGAACCAGATCTTCACCTGCAATATATAAAGAGAATGAGTCAGATTGCTGGATCTCGGAGTGAAGAAGAGGCGGCGCAGGATTTCGAGCGGTGAGATGCCCTACAAAAGGCGCTGGAAGAATTTCACTGGCTGGGACAACAGGACGCTGAAATTGTGTTCGGAGATATCGAAATACACTAGCATCCAGGCACACGGGCTGCTAAGCGACCCGGCTTGAAGAGACAAGAAGGCACGTGAGAAGACAAATTGCATATTGTGTACCTACACGTCTTATAACGCGACGCATCTCGAAAGCAGAAGCTGAATCTATTCCGTTTCATGGCATAGTCCGCTCCGCTCCATCCCATTGTGAAGTCAACATCTCCCCTCGTTACGGCTCTCTCCGTCCCATAGCACGGTCCACTTCCATCCTACAACACAGTCCGATGTTCGCTGTCCACTCTGCTCCCCTGAGACCACGAGGGCCTTTCCTCCTCTGTCTCAGTCAAAAGCGACACATTTCACTCGCTATTTGTCGCGTTTCCCTCACAGTTTACATACTCAGCATCAGTACAGCGTCGTTCAGCAGTTGACAGCCAATACCAGACGATGGGCATTTGGAGGATGGAAATTCCACACCAGTTGCTGTCCGTCCCCGTCTCCAGCATTGCACAAGTGGTCGGCAAATTAGTGTGGTATTTCTGTGCCGGCTAATGTTTCCCCTGTGGCCGGCCTGGCTCTCGTCAGGTCGACAGGCACGGCCGACGGAAGTACGGGCCGTGGTGTTTGCGAATCGGACGACGGACAGCGGCCGGTTATAACCAGAACAGCCATTAACCGTCTCCCTCCGCAATCCGCTGCGATGGAGGCCCAACTCCGAGTGGCCACCACAAGAGATTAAGTCGTGCAGCTGTCGTTAATGGTTTAACGACACGGCGAGTGCGACCTGCTCTCGTCAGAACCCGCAATGGTGCACGGAAATAAACTGCCGCATTGAGGCCTCGGGTTCAATCGGCTGGAAATTCGCCATTGGCAGTGGTCAGACCGGCTCGAATCGTTCGAGCACTTTGCACAACAACATGGGGTCAATACGACTTTCCAAACGATCTGGAGTCGTTGGTGTGACGGAAAATTGTTTGGATCTCGGCAGTCGCCACCGTCACGTAAATGATGCTGTTTGACGACAAATACGCTTATCGATTGACCAACAGAATGACAGTGACGAGCGGGCATTTACTTACACCGTCTACTGATCTCATAGGTACACAAAGATCTGTACAGGGTGTCCCATAAGTTCGTTCTCACATTATGTTTGCATGTGAAACAGAGTACATTGCGTTTTGGTATATTTATGACCCCTCAATGTGCTCCCCATTTAATAGGCAAACACATGAATACATGCTGCGGCATGCCAACCGGCATGTTTGGCTGCATAGCAGGCTTAAAGTTAACCCAGACTGACTTGACATGCGCCGTGAGCTCCTCGAGGCTGGAACAGCGCTACGCTTCAACGAGCCTCAACTTCAGCATAACCAACAAATTTTTATGAAATTTTGATCCGATGAGGTGCCTGGCATGTGATCTTGCCACAAACGCCTGTCACAGTCTCCTTGCACCGCTTTTAAGCTTTGCTTGACTTGTGCACTGATGCACTGTCTTGCCTGAAGATGGGCCTACGACCTCCCGGATGCCATTTTCTCCTCTATAAATGTGTTCATACTCGCGGTTCGAGTTCAGCTTGAGGGCTGAAATTCCTCCTAGATGTTCTTGGAAAAGCATTCTGCTTCCCAAAACTGTTTCCGGGTTGCCACTTGTAACTTGATCAACTCCAGAACGCCTATAACCCCACAACACAGTGACCTTGGCCTTTTGCATAGGAACATAACGGGACGAAATGAAGGCCTCCTCCTTCGCCCTTATGGGGTTGTTTTCGGGTTTGGACGGGTGTTTCATCTCGAACGTGGACTAGTTAGTCCAGATGACCTGGTTGATGTCATCAGCCCTCTAGTTTTGTTTAGCCTCAGGCATAACGAAACTCATGTTTGGCCATTTTAAGACGTTTTTGACTGTTTTGAGCCCTCCGGTAAGTAAAGCTTAAGTCACCTTGAGTTATGTACCCCGAAAGAACACTCTTAGACAGCTGGTAATCCATCCTGAAAAGTCTGTTTACCAACTTTCTAACCCTTTGACCTTTTTGATGGCCACTTTGGCGCCACACAGTTTTGGCCACTTGGCTCATTCCTGAGGGCTGGCTAGAAAGAGGATAAACTTGCAGTTATTGACTCCCAACAAATCATCGGCGTCACTTGCTGACTGTGCGTCCAGTTAGCGATGGATATTGGCTACCGACTGGTAGGCCTCAATCACCCTCAATCGTCGCGAATGGTCACGTGCTGACTAAATACTGAGACGTACCCGTATCGGAGACCTCTATGTTGCGGCGTTAGCCGTCTCTGTAGGAAGCGGGCTCTCTAGCAAAAACTATTTTGTCTACAGAAATTAGCTACTGTGGAGCATATTTCTACCAGCCATGGCAACCATGTAAGCTCAGTTACGAACCAATTTCAGCGTGCCTTTAAGCAAGAAAGCCTAAAAACGTAAAATTTAGGTGAGAACGAACTTATGGGACACCCTGTACAACGTGATAGGTTCTCATGAAGCGAGTCGCCCGGCATTTCCACGTCTTTGCACAAAGAGACGACAGGCCACGTCATGTCTGGGCTGGTGCAAAATATGTCCGATGAAAGGGTCCATCGGTCCGAGTGTGCGATTATTTTTGCAGGCCGGAGTGATCGCTTCCTGCGGCGTCCAACGGGCGTTGTCGCGGCGAGCGGCGCGCTGACTCTGATGGAACGTGTTTATGACTTTCATCATTTGCAATCCATTGGGGTCAGCGGCGCCTGCAAGCGAGTCGTGTTCAGTGTCAGCTGCGGCTGCCCGCCGCGCGGTCTGGCGCTGCCCCCGGCGCTGAGAGATGGCTCTGGAATGGAGCGCGCCCGGCCCAGGGAGCGGCACCTCTGAGCGGCCGCGGTGCCCGCACGGTCACGGGTGCGGCCGGCCGGCCCGCAGCGGCCAGCCGGCCGTGCCACCCGGTTCCAGCTCTGGCCGTGCAGACTGCACGGCGCCATGTGCTCAGCTAAACACTGCCGCCCAACCTAAACAAACAGCCGCTGCAGCGGGCAGCGGCGGCCGGCGCGGCGGCCAGTGGTCAGCCACTCCGACTCCGTCCTGCCCGCGCCGGCTCCCCCCGCTACTGCCGCGCCACTCGCCGCGCCAGCCACCCGCACGAATTAATTCTCCGCCCGTATCAGCCCGGCCCGCGCCGGAGGAGGCTGAGCCGACAGCAGGCAGCTGCAACATGCTCGGTCGGCCGGGCGCGCAGGGTCGGCGACAGCAGCTGCCCATTACGGCGCCGGTCGCCCGGGAGCGCCGTCCGCCGCTCGCGGCCATCAATGTTGGAGCGCTCTCCACCGCCGGCCGCCTGAATAAGGCAGGAGCCGGCCGGAGCGGTGGCCGCCGCTCCCCGCTCGCCTAATTGGTCGATAGCGCGCGGTGTCGGCGAGCCGAGGTGTCACCGGCGCCGGCCATCGATCCTCGCAGCGGCACCGGCGCCGGCGGCGGCGGCAAATCATGGCCAGATAATTAGTTTGGTGGAGCGGCCGAGCACAGCCGGCTCGCCTCGCCGCCCCATCCGGACGACTCCAATAAGCCGCTGAGGGGAGCGGAGAACGAGGGCGCGCCGGCACCGGGAGACGCGCCCGCAGCGAGGGAGGGGAGGGGAGGACGCACTTGTGCGGCTGCCGTCACTAATCAGTCACTGGCGAGCTCAACCCGACCGGGGCCAGCGGCCTCCCCCCCCCCCCCGCCCCCCGGGGGCAGGGGAGGGGTCAGCGCCGGCGGCCTCGGACTCATTGGCTCAGCGAGGGTCGTCAGCAGCAAGCTCGTCGGATTGTTGAGGGAGGCCGATGGTGAAGGTTTCGTTGGAACGTTTTAGCGTCCGCTCGTTGAGGAGAATGAGGAAATATTTGCATAACGGATCGACTGAAATCGGTGCTCTGTGGCGCAGTGTCCATCTACATTGAGTAAACTAAACGTTCGACTCTCAGTTCCATTCTGTCTATAATTCCCTGACAAGAAGAGATGCGTCAGGAACAGCGCAATTTACCTAGAATGTAGCCATTTAAACCTACCCACAAAGTTTTACGAAATAAAAACGTTACGATGATTTGACTAGGACGGTTCGGACGGACATGTTCTAAGTTCCGAGTGGCACTCGTAAATGCAGTGGGACAGTCGTCGCAGTCTGCCGTCCGTCGCGGCGGCTCGGCGGCTCACATCAATCTCATTTGCATCTTTAATAGCGGCCGGCGGTGACTGAGGCGGAGGGCGACCGCGGCCGCCGTCCCGTCGTCCCTGAGCGCCGCCGTCGCTAGCGACCGAGTCCTGTTGCCGCTGCCGCTGCCAACCGCCGGCCGTAATTGAGGGCGTGATTGCGAGCGACGAGCGGCGGCCAGGCCGCGCCGCAGTAATTTGTTTGTCGGACGGCCGGCGGCTAATGCGGGAGCGCCGCTACCGACGGCGAGCGACGCTACCGACGCTGCCCAGACGGTTATGTGCGTCTGCTGCGAGCGGCAGCCACGCCCCGGCCGCACGGCGCCTGCCCGCCGGTCGGTCGGTCGGTAACTTGGCGGCGCTCGCACCCGCTCGGAATAATAAAGTGATCGGAGCGAGCGCCGTCACCGCCCGATGGAAACGGACGCCATCAATAGTGGAGCACGCCCCGCGGCGCCGCCGCCGCCTCCGATCCGACGACTCGCCGTGCCCGCCGGCCGGGGAGGGGGAGGGGGGTGGGGGAGGGGAGCCGGCGAGCTGGCTGTATTGAGCGCGCATCCTCAGTCGCTAATGGGGTCCGACCGAGCGGCCAGCAGGTCCGCTCGGGAACTGCCACCACCGATCATCGATCAACAGGTCCATTATAGAACCCTGTCATGGCTGACGGCGAGCGGACCGGGATGACAGAGGCCGAGGGGCGGCCGGGGGGGGGGGGGCAGGACGCTCGGACCGGCCAGGGAGGGGAGCGAGAACTCACCTGAGTTTCTGTGACGCTCAGCAGCTTGGCCATATCCGAGCGCTCCGTCGACGAAAGGTACTTTTTGATCTCGAACTGTTTCTCGAGCTCGAAGATCTGCCGGCCGGTGAAGGTGGTGCGCGCCTTCTTGCGTCTGCCATCGGCCTCCTCGGGAGTGGTGGGACCCGCTGTCGGCGGCTCCTTCCGCTTCTTGGACGGCCGGTCTGTGGAGAACGCCAGGGGTCGCTGGGGTCACACCACGGTCCAGCCGTAACACGCCTCAACCAGCCACAAAACGAGCTCTTTGTGTGGATTAAAGCTTCGATACAGAGAACTAGACATACTCCTGTCTGTCGTTGAACGACGTAAAAATGCAAAACAACGTTAAAAGCAGTAACCTATTTCGTAGAGCTAGAACAGCCTGTCGTGGCATAAAATGATTAAAATGAAAATGAAACAATAGCGTAAAATAAGGTTGAGTAAACGGCGTATCTGACTGAGCATGAGGCTAGCCACAAGTCATTATTCTGCAGGACGTGAATGAAAGCTCCGTGAGACATGACCAGAAAACATATATGAAACAAGTTATTGAGTTCCAGGGAAGTGACGTGCGCCGTTCCTGATGGTAACAAGAGATAGCGAGCGTCAAAAATATACAAGCGCGCCCATTTCGCAGCGTTCTCGGCAAGTCCGACCATAAACACCGGATCGGAATGTCTTCCGCTGAATGACGGGGCGCGCCGTGGAGTGAGCAAGAAACACAAGTCCGGCGCTGCTCTGCAGAACGGGCTGAGAGGGCTGTGCCGGGTCGGACCGTCTGGTGTGTGTGTGGGGGGGGGGGGTACTTAATCGGAACTGATAGCCTGCGTTGTGCTTGACAAGGACTGACGGGACGGTATGTAAACACGTATACCTATTACCTAATGATGGCGGCAGATAGTTCGGCTTTATCAGCCCGGGGCTGTGCTACACTGGGAACCGGTCCGCTTTACATGGCACTCTCCCGTCTGGACTTGGAGCGCCTGACACGGGCCGGAGAGCCCGGAGGTCCGTCTCGTGCCTGTTGAGCGCCCTCCGGCCGGCGGCCGACGCCCACCAGCGCCGATGACAGGCCTGCTAATGTATGCTAATGCCGGCCGGCCGGGCGCCGCCGCGCCTCCCGCTGCCATTACGGGCGCTGCAGCGGCACGTCGGCCGCGCCGGGAGGGTCGCTCGCCACCTCGGTCGGCGCCGCGCCCCTTCGTCATCATCACACCCCGTCGGCCGATCTGCTGATGAAAATTGGGCCCCTGGAGCAGACCCACTGATGAATGTGTGTCGGCGCGGCCCGAGCCACGGCGGCGTTCCCAGCACGGCCGCCGTGACGCACCGGCCGCGACCCGCCGGCCGTTAATGAGCCGTGATCCGGCTTATCATCAGCTCTTTACGGCGTCAGTAATGGGCGGGCCGGTCGGCCAGAGACACGCCGCCTGCTTTATAGCGCTGCCCGCAATGGAGGGCCAGTGATCCCGCTCCCACGCTAATTGATCGATACATCAGCGCGGCACTGTTGGGCTCGGCACGGGCCGACCGCGGCCCCGATAACGCCCGAACGAGTTGCGGTCCAGGCGTGCTGCGGAATAATGGCAGCGGCCAGAGCCGCCGGCGCCGGCCCGTGTATCTGCACCGTGCACCGGGCGGTGTCGGAGCGGCCCGTGAGATTAGCGAGCCCACCACACCTCAGCTATCGGCGCGGGGAGCAGAGCCGCAGCGGCTGACACCGCCGGCTGGGGAGTTCCCACCGTCCTCTGCGGCTATACCTGCAACTGCATCCGCCTCCCCGCCCGGCCCCTCCCAGCGCCTTCTCCCTCTGTTCTCCGGCTCCTCAAAGCGACATAAACTTCCTTTCCTTTCCCGTTCTCGGGATAACATCCACCTGCTGAGTGCCCAAACCCCCTTCAACATCCGTTCAACGCTCGAATGCTCAATGCCCACGTAAAACTTCTGACGGATGTACTGTGCAGTTGGCGGAAGCAGACCCATGGACCATGGCAGTTTTGAGTCGGTGAGCGGCCAGACCGTGTCCGCTTATTTAGGCACGCCAAACTTCGGCTCATTAATTCTCCTGGTTTCTCTGAATTTCCTATGGTAATCGGATCGGCACGTGCAACAAGCTCTGCTCAGATTTCGTCAATCCGTACATTCAAATCATTCGAATTAAATTACTAAACATCCTCCTCCCAGTCTACCTCTGCCAATATCCGTCTGCGATAGAGACATCTGCCTCCTCTCCTGCGCAGTGACGACATCCGCCTCCTGCGGCGACATCCGTCTCCTCTGCACCACACTGCTCCGAGATCCGCCTCTGCGCTGCCCCGGCGCCGTCTCCCGGACCCTGCCGACCGGCCGGCCGCGACGGGAGGCGATAATTGCTCTCGGCCGGCCGTCTGCGCGCTCGGCCGGCGCCGCCCGGACGTCGACTCCGATGGAGTGGAACATCGGCCGCCCGTCGGCGCTCCCCGGCCGCGCTGACGTCACCGTCCGTCGCCGACGACGACGCTCCATCTGCGACGCGTCGCCGCCGCCCTAATGAGGTGACGGCTGCGGTCGGTGTCGGCGCTCCCCTTCGGCCGGCTCCGGTGGCAGACGACGTTCTGACCCGATTTCGGAAAACTGTCATGTCGCTCACGATCGCCTCTCGGCAGTCGGGCCACTGGCACCAGCGAACATTAGCGATCGCCGATTATCATATCAAGATATAGGCATCATGTTATGGCGCCGATTTTCATATCTAGGTAGATGTCATATTTACTTTGTTTCATTCGTTCTCTCTCTCTCTCTCTCTCTCTCTCTCTCTCTCTCTCTCTCTCTCTCTCTCTCTCTCTCTCTCTCTCTCTCTCTCTCTCTCTCTCTCTCTCTCTCTCTCTCCCTCTCTTTCCTTGCTCTCCCAGATGAGGTGATAGGATTAGGTCAGGGTTCCGGCAGCCGTCGACAGCTCCGGCAGCGACCTCCGGCCCCGCCGAGGGGCTGACCTCATCACTGACTGCGGCGGCGGCGCTGCGCTGTTTTCGCCGCAGCTGGCGCGGCCGATCCGGCGCGGCTGAGTCACGCGGCGCCCGCCTAATTGGCCCGGCTGACAAAGAGGCACCGCCGCCTCCGGCTGTTTACATACGGCTTCTGGGTTACGGGCCGGGCGGGCCGGGCGGGCCGGCGGCGCCGCGTTCCGCTCCCCGGGCGCTCGCCGTCGGCGGCGTCGCCGCGCTGTCTCAGCGGCTCGGCCCCCTCTCCCCGCCGGGCTGAGCCCTCGCCCGGGCCGATTTATTTCGCGCCGGGGGCCGTCAGCGGCCGGCCGAGTGCGGTTTAATTTGATGTCCTCGGAAACCTTTGTGATCGTTGGCTGGCGGACGGGCGCGGAGAGCCGCCGCCAAGATGATCTGCCGGCGGTTCCCAGAAGTGATCCAGGCCGACAGCTATTCCCCGGCCGGGCGAGCCGTGCGGTCAGCCGCCTGGGTGGGCCGCGCGCTGCACCTGACGATGTGCGCCCGTCAAAACAGAGCGTTTGCCACAGAGCGGACCGCTTCCGGTCCAAGTGGGTTCAATGGCTGACCACATCCGAGCAATGATTCAGGACGCGGCCACTCACCAGCGCCCGCCGATCGCCGATCGCCGCCGGGCGCTGGCGGCGGGCAGACGCCGCTGTCAGCCGCGCTCAGCCGCCGCCGCCGCCGCCAATCTGATAAATCCGGCGGCAATCATCGATCGTCTCGGCGAGCGCCGACACTCGGCCCCGCCGCCTCACGCCGCCGGCCGCCGCTATCTTTGATAGCCGCCATTAAGTGCGGCCGGGCCAGGCGTTTTTCGGCGATAATTCCCGACGCCGTTCGTCACGTCAGCTGTGTCTGGAGAGGCCATCCATTACCGTTTTTGTTGTCATTAGCCGGTCGCCGGTGGCGGCGGCGGCTGGCGCTGTCCGTGCGTCTCTGGGCCGCCGCGCCCCGCCCCGCCCCCGTGCTCATTCAGCCTGCTACTGGTCACCGCCCCGCGGCCGGATGTTTCAACTCACGGCATCACCGCACCGGGGCTTTTTCTACGGCACAGCCACTCGCCACGCAATGCTACTGCCGTTCAAAGGTTACCCATTCTCCGCAGCCGAGCCCCTGCCTCCGCCATCGGACCTCGATAAAAACTGGCAATCGCGCGCCAGGCCGAGTCGACTCACTGAGCTCGCAGGCACGCTATCCAACAGTCGGCTTTACGGGTGTCTAATTGTAGCATCCCAACAACGGACAGATTTGGCACGGCTTCCCGAGTATCCCTGTCCGCTGCTACCCTCTCGAATGTATCATTAACGGCGGCGGTGTCAATGACGGCCCTCTGTCGGCGGCGGCGACTCCTATCCGGCCGCCCGCGGCAGCTCGCCCGTCCATCGATCTCGGCTATCAGTCATCCCATTAAGGGCGTCATTAGCGGCCGCCGAGATGGCCGCCGCCGCGCCGAAACCGCCGCCGATTAGAGCCGCACCGACGATAGTGGCGCGCCGCAAGCCGCGGGACGATAGCGGCGCGCGCCGCGCTAGCCACTAATGGCTCGAGATGCAAACGCGGCGCAGCTGGCGCCGGCTGACAAAGAGGGTCGGGAAACCGGGCCTGTCGAGCAATAAAAATTGCCCATTGATTACGCACGTCTTGTGCTACAGACACCGATTGCCATCGGATCCCTGCAGCACTCGGTCGGTGTCGGGTGTGCCTGTGCGCGGCCCCGGGGTACCGAGTGACCGCCGCTCGCCACCGGCAGCAGCTGGGGTCGGACTCGGAGTCGGACGGCAGACAGAGAGCAGCACGGCTGTCCGCTACGGTCGGCAGCTGCCCGAGCGAGGCACCAGACACTGCGGGAAGCGGGCCGCTTCCGCCGCCGCGCCGAGGCCGGGGCGGGGGCGGCGGGCCATCTGCGGGCGGCGGGAGAGGAGACGCGCCGGCTGCACCGTTCGCCCTGAGCCGACGGCGCTGCAAAAACTGTTTATCCGCCGGCCGATTACCGCTGCCTGGCGGCCTGGCCAGATCGCATTCGGGTCGGCTCAGTTAGAGGATGAATGTGAGCCCAGGGCAGCGGTAATTACAGCCGGAGCATGCTCACAATTCCGTGTTCTGGATCGATAAACGGCGATCTAATTTAGAAGATCCGAGCCGCGTCGTCGTTTCTTGGTCTGTTCTCAATAATCACATTATTTCCCGCTTCAATCTGCGAGTCGGTCAGTTTTCATCTCCTGATCCGGTCTGCCGCAGATCACCAGCGCTCAGTGATCGCTCGCCCCCAACGGCTGAGCCCGCGCTCGGGCTCATGCTCAAGACGCCGATTCATCAGCCGATCTTGGGACCACTCGACTCTTATACTCCTCTTCTGTGGAACGGGGGGTCTGGGGAGTGCCGCTCTGCCGTTAGCTCCTGCTCACGCCGTGCCCAGCTCTCTCGGCACGGCCGCCGGCTGAGCTGATAAGAGGCGGTAATTTGTCCGCCCGAGCCTCCTCACACCCGTCTTCCTGTTTTGCAAGTCGGCCCGTGCTCGATAAGTGGACCGCACCCCGGCTCGGCGCGGCTGTACGCCACACCAGCCGCGGCTGTACGCCACACCAGCCGCGGCCCGTTCATGCCTCTGCAATCGGCGCGTTTAACGCGGCGCTGGACGGGCGCTGCAGAGCCGGTCCGGCTTGGTGCGGCGGCCGTGCGCGATGGTCCGTGTCTGCGCCTGGACAGTGTCAGCCGGCGGGCCGCTCGTTACCGCCGGCCAGCGACTAATGACTGCTCGACCGGCTCCACCAGCCGGACACGACCGCCGGCAGGCGCTCTCGACATTCTGCAGTCATCGCCGGCCCAGGCGCGCGGTGGTTTGCATCAGACGGTCGCTCGGAGCAGCTCTCCAGCCATCGCCGTTAGTTATTGACAGCGATATCCGGAGGTGACGCCAGCTTCCGACTGACAGAGCGCAGCTGCGCGCCGCCGCCTCTCGCCAGGGCAGCGCTCGTGATGGAAAGCGCCGACTGGAAGTCGCGGCGACGGACAGTCACAGATGCGGCGAAATCACCGGTGATCTGCTCTCTCCTCATTCCCTCTCTCCCCGCTCGTGTGATCGTGGGTGTGATGGTTAATCCCGCCCAGTGGGATGAGCCATCGGACAAAACCAGCGACCCATGCCTTATCCTCATTTCCCACACGCTATAAACAGGGGCGCTATAAATCCAACAATGCACTGCACTGGCGAGACTCAACACGACATCCTTAGCCGGCAAGTAGTCCCTGGTCCCATTCGGTATTCTCTAACGCATTTTAGAAACTAAGACTTTGTTACTATACTTAGAGAAAAGAAATAGAACTGAAGCGGGCCAAGATCAGATGAGTGAGCTCACAGCGCCGACAAGGAAGTGAACAACAGGAAAACTGAAAAATGAGGCGAGAAGAAATAACGATCGAGACTGGAATTTCCGTGCCCCAAATCCCGCGAATCTTGCACACAAATCGCTATTCGTTCGACAGATTATGCGCTTTTTGGCAGAGGCCATTATGCCTTAAATCACTTGGCAGCGGAAACTCCCAGGATTAGTGGCGGTGCTGCATGTCTGGGCGACAGGGGAGCCCGACTGCACTCGGAGCTCAATCTGGGACCATAAATATCGGGCTTCGCGGCTCCGAAACGTGACAAGCATCACCAGATCATAACTTGATTCTCGTCACAGATTTCCAAGTTGGCGAGTTCTGTGAAGCGGCCGCCGCTCTCAGTCCGGACTGCAATGGCCGGCCGGCGGGCGGCCGGGCACAAAGGCGGCCGGGTCATCTCTGTCGTCGCCGGCGGGCCTCTGGCGGTCGCTGGAGCGCCGGCGAGTGGACACAGACGCGCCGCCGGCCGGTCCGAGCCGCTCTGCTTATTGCCCCGACTCGGTGACCTGCAACCCAAACAAACCGGCGCGGCGCGCTCACCTTTGCGGCTGCCCTTGCCGGCTGGCTTGGAGTCGGCAACCTCTGCGGCCTCGGGGGCCGGCTGGTGCGCGCCGTCGCCGTCGCCGGTCGCGCCGCGCACCGTCAGGTTCAGCGGCTCCTCCCCGTCATCAGCGACGGCTGCCGGCGCGCCGAACAGGCCGAACGCCGGCGGCCGCGCCAGGCCCAGGATGTTGTTGATGAAGAAGGGCGTGTAAGCCTGCGTGGCCGAGCCGAGGTGGGCGGGCCACAGCGGCCGGCCCGGCGCCGGCGGCGGCGGCAGCTGGGCGGCGGCGCGGCTCGACACCACCCCGCCGCCGCCGCCGCCGCCCTCCGAACACTCGGACGCCGTCGTCGTAGTCATTTCTGCCGGAGAAAAAAAAACCGTGGTTGTGATGACTGCACGGCCCAGACCACACTCGCACTACAGACAACACCAGACACAACTACAAGCCGCCCACATAAGCCGCTGCTACCGAGAAGGCTGCCACGAGCCCAGCCCCATTAGTTGACGATTATGGTTTTTACAACTCGGATGACGCTTGCCTTGGTTTGATATCCTTTAGCTTGTCGTATTTCATGAGGCGAGTCAAACCACAAGAAGTCATTCAAAGAATTTAAACATACCGAGGCTAGACTAGAAATCTTCATCCTTCCTGGAAATTGCAATAAATTATTCCATTCGTAAAATAAAGCCATGGGCCATGGCGTGGTGGGAGTGTGCGTAAAAGGCACGCCCGTATAAGGAAAATTGAGCAATTAAATCATCATAGGCAATGCAGTTTTAATGAGCACTTATTCACGTGTCACGGCTTACGTAGAACAACGCTTCATTTCATCGTTTTCTGCACCGAATACCGATCGCACCAAATTATTTCCTGAAGAAGCTCGCAGCGTATTGGACAGGGAAATGTCAGTCGCCCCGCGGCCATCGATCTTGGTAGGCGGACCGATCAGCCGGCCGGCCGTATCATAAGGTATGACCGTCTCATCGCTCGCAGCCCGGCGCCGTGAGCGAAATCCATTCCGACAACAATGCGGACATTAATAAGTCACGATATGAAAGCCTGACGACATTTCTGCAGCATGAAGAAAGCCGGCCATCTGGCACATCGGTCCATAACACAGATGACGTAACGCATGGCAAGTGATAATTATCAGCGCGGCAAACAACTTGCAGACCGACTCGGACCGGCTCGGCCGGCTGCTCCGTGGCAGAGCGGCAGCTCTGTCAGCGGCCCGGCCGAGTCTTTGACCGGCCAGGTCAGCAGCTTCTCCGACCATCAGTAGCCCCCTCCCCTCCTCCCCTCCTCCCCCGGAGCCGTGATCGGTCCGTCACAGAGCCGCCGCTCCGTGCGACACGGCCACAAAGACGTGCCGAGGGCATGACTCATCGGCCAATCGACTGCAGAGAGTGCACCGCGCCGACGCGCCGTGTAGATCACAGCCACAAAGAGCCGGCGATCGCGTTTCACGCGGCCGGCCGAGCGGCTATCGGTTGGCAATGAGCTGAGCTCGGCGGAGGCCGCCGGCTCGGCTCCAGTGACAGTCCCGCTCCCACGGCTGAGCTGCGCTGGAGGCACCCCATGCCCTGCTCGGTGAGCGGGTCAGCGTACCTACCGGCCGGCCAGCATTTTTGGGTGGTCGCTCTGCAGCTCTACAGCCTCCTCTGGGAGCCGAGCTCTGCCGGATGGAGGCGCCTTGCACCATGGGCGGCGAACTCGGTGAATCACGCGCGCACCGTGCAATCTGCTCCAGCTGCTGGTTCCGGCGCGCTGGCCGGCCCGGTGACTATCAGGTCACCACTTCGCGGTGTGGCCCACATCCGGCCGCCCGCCGTGGACCCGGTTTATACAGCGAAAACGGACGTCTGTATCCGGCGGCGAGCAGTCCGAAAGACGGCGATGGTTAGAAAAAAGCACTCGTCAGTCAGATGTATGGGAATAAGAACACCACAAATGTCGCGAAGGTTTCGTGATATTCGGCGCAGGCATCTTGGAAAGCGAAGAGGGGTCAACACAGCCCTGCAAATCGCTTCAAGGAAGAGCATCGACGGACAACAAGCCGTTCCCAATGGCATCATCCACACAAACCACGTCTTAACACGATCTTCCTGGTTCCACCCATGTAACTTGGCTCGGGTTGTGCAATACCCTGGAAGCAGTTTGGCACGCCCGGCGAGGGTCACTCACCCTCTCCCCTCCGGCCGTCTCCCTCTCTCCAAAGGTCAATTGGCCGGCGCGGCAGCCGCTCGGCAGAGGGCGGATAATTAATCCTCACGAGCGGAGCTGGGGCGCGTCGGACCCAAACGTGCCGGCCGGCAGACTCCTATTACCGCCTATGCAGAGCAGCAGGGCCCTGTCGCTCAGTAACATACGACACGAGTTCCTCTCTCTGGAGCTGCGCTCGGGCGCCGTGTTTGTCGGTCAGACAGCCGAGCAGCCGGCGGCGCCGAGATGCCCCATCGTTTCACCACCAGCTCAGCCCGTCAGTGATCTGTTTGAGTTGTAGTCGGGGCTTCCCACATCCGTCGGGCGGCCGTCTATCAGCAGCCACACGGCGCGCTCAGACGGACGATTTCCTGTTTCGACGGACTCGCAGACGGCCGTCGCGACACTGGACGGTAACAGACTCCCAGACTGCACCGAGATGGACTTCCAGACTGGACCTGAACTCCACCTAGACTGATATCGATGCTCCCCAATCCTGACTCCTAGACTGACACTGCACGCTGGTCAGTGGTCACACCAGACGCCCTACGACCATTCGCCACTGCCGCTGTCGGCTGATGACCGGCAGTATTGTCGGCGTGACCTACCGGGGCGGGCGGCTACCGGGTGGGCGCGGTCAGGCCAAACCTAACTCCCCTCGTCACGGCGAGGCCAGCCGAACCGGGCGGGCGGCGCCTCCGCCCACCGCCGGCGTTGCGGCCGTGAGCTGCCTCCCAATTGACCGGCGGAGTCTCTCGACCGACCGCCGCTCGTCCAGGGGCGGCCCGGGCCAACGGGCGGTGCCTCCCCGCGGCGGCGCTGCTCGTCCCACCGGGAGAGGCGACGCGGAGGTCGGCCGCCGAGCCTACCGGAGAGCGCCGCACCGTGACTCATCACGGCGCTGTTCGCCGGTGACGCCACGCTAACTTGTTAGCCGGGAATGCAGGCCGCTCGGCGATGCTGGTGAGTGATTTGGCCGCATTTCCTTCCTCGGCGGAGCCAATTGGTCGGCACGCTACCGCGCTCAGTTGATGGAAGCGAACCCGGAAAATCGGCCCGTGCACGCGTCGCTTCCCGGCTGCTGAGCCACAAACAAAGACGAGCAATTACGCTCCGCGACTAAAAGACGCTTCCAGCTGCGGAAAACAGGTTCCCGGTAGCAAAAGGCATCACTCGACATTTCCCAGATGCACTCATGACGAAGGAAGGCTGGACGGTTCCCAGAATGGGCCCCAAACGAGCCGGCTGAGTGTCGCGCTGGTGTGTGACCCGGCCGAGCAGGCGGCGCTATGATTGGAAATGGGCACGCCCGACAGGAAGGAAGTCGCTGAGACTGGAGCGCCCGCTGCCGACAGCTGGCTCGGTCTGACCGGGTCGCAGCCGGAACTGTGGGACTGGCAGCGAGTGCTGTCATAATGGACCGAGCGAGAAGACACATTACGGATGCCGTATAGCACGGATTTCCCACAAGATAAGGCATGACTGGATATCGATCTCAGTAATTAGGCGCCGCGCAGCAGACGCCGTCTGTAATATTGTGCGGCATCTCCGGCTCAGTACGTCCCCGACAGCGCGGGGAACGATGGAGGCAGGGAGGGGAAGAGAGAGGCCCTCGGCGGGGGATGAGCCAGGTCGCAGACCGACCGCCGCCGCTGCCGCTGCCGCCGCGACCATTCAGCCGTGCAGCATCGCGTGGCCGATTTCGAAACCAGGGCCTCTGGGTGTTAGCCAACTTATGCGGACGGCTGGCGCCAGCCATCACGCGGCGGCGACACGTCTCCGCCGGAAGAGCGCGAGTGGCCGCCGCCCGCGACGCTTTCCCGGGCCGCCCGCCGCCGCCCGCGCCGCCGCGGTGACGGGCGGCACGCCGAAAACGCGGCGACACAGCACTAACGACGCGCCCGCCGGATTCCTGTTAAAAACCGATTCGTCACCGGCGAGTGACGGTCGTGATTGGGCCGTCGGCCGACCGACCGGCCGCGCTGGCACCGCTCGGTCTCTCCGGCCATCATTAAGCGGCTCATAAAATGAACGGTAACGACTGGCCAGCGTCCAACTGCTAATGGTTTTTGTGTTAGTTTAATGAGAGTGCGGTATCACGGCGCGGCGCTGGTTAATGACTCACCGACCGGTGGCGCCGGCCGGCCGGAGCCGACCATATCGGGCCGACCGCACCGCGCGCCCGCTCGGTCGGCCGGCCCATCGCGCGCTCAGAGCTGCCGATAATGGCGCGACTCGAGCGGTCGACATCCATTCCTCGGGCCTCGGCGGCTCGACCCGGCGCGGCGGAAACGGGCCATATCGAGTGCAGCGTCCGGTCAGCCCCGTCAGCCGCGCGCACCGGCCCGATCGCCGGCCGGCCGCCATGCTAATAGAATTAATCACTTAATTGATGAGCCGATAACGATCCTCGCGTCAATCCTGACACGAATTATGGCATGCGGGCGACGTGGCGCGACGGGAGCGCGTCAGGCTCGCCGCGGGGAGCACTCCCGGGGCGCGTCGCCGGCGTCGCACGTGCAGAGCGCACGGAGCGTCCCATCCGGCCTCCACCGGCGGGCAGCGCGCGCGTCGGCGGACGCCACTAATTGCGGTGCCGCCTCGTCGCCAACGACGTTGTTCGGAGTGGCGGGGGCCGGCTGAGCCGGAGGAGAGTTCTGGATGGCACGTTCTGGCGCGCTGGTCGATTTCAAAGGACCGCCGGGGCGCTGCACAACTCATCGCCTGCAAGCGGTACAAGACTGCGCGGCGCAGCTGGTCTGCCAGGCGCGCTGCCCGAGTCGACTCCTCAGAGGTGGTCCCCGAGCGGCCGCTCGGCCCATCCTGATCCGACGGCCCACCAGTGATGATATTGCTGCCCGGTCGATGGACTGTCGCGAGTCTGGTCGCCACACAACGGACACGGGAGAAGATTGAAACGGCGATCAGCCTGCGAGCGGCAGATCGCGTAAATGAAGAGAAGCGGCGTGGGTGGAATAAATGTGTATGAAAATCGGCGGCTTAGAGCGCTACTGCCCTCTGGTCACAAGAGGCGAAATTGCCTGATGGTCTAGTTCGGCAAACTGTACAAACCTGGCAAACCCCTCCCCAAACTGGCAAACCCCTCCCCACGGGCGACTTCAGTTCTCATCCCGCGCGGCCTTGCTGCCAAACAAAGAACCGCGGCAGGCCTATCAACAACACAGCTCGGTTTGCCACGCACCGCGTCAGAGAGAGGTCTCAAAACGACCGGCGTGGTGTCTTATTCTCCGCTCCCACCCCTCCCCCAACCGCCCGGGGTGCAGCCCATCACACCGCCCACGCGGCGGCACCGACACCACATGTGGACCGACAACCGATACACAGACCCACCCTGTTTGCAATCATTCAACCGTTGGCAGCCATCTGAGATACCCTTTCCCATTCAAACGATACGAAGCAGTCAAACAAAGCACCAGGTCGACCGTTTAACTCGATGCTCACACAGTCAACAAGCCTCACCGATTCGGTGCAGACCGACCGCTGATAGGAGCCGGCCGATAGTTGGCACCCCGTTAGCGGTCCCGCCACCGCGGCTCACCTGTGATCTGCACTCCGGTGTGACTCTCTCCCCTCGCCACCTGTCGCTCCGTCCGTCCGCTGGCTCTTCGCTCCGGCTCCGCGCGCCGACCGCCGCCGACGACACTCTATTAGCGAATGACGACTCGTTTATCACATCTCAATTACGGCGTCGGTCGGCGGCGCGGTTCACGTACGTGTGCCCCCAGAGCGGCCGGGCCGTTAATTGGCGGCGGGCGGCGGCGCGCTGCGCTCGGTTATTAATGGCGGCAATTAGCGCTGATGCGGCGATAGGCGGCGCGCGGCGCGGCCGACAGTCGACAGGGGGCGCGTCGCGAGCCGACTGATGGGCCCGAGCGCCGGCCAGCGAGCGAGCGGACCGACTGCGCGCGCCCGCCCGCCGGCCGCCCAGCCGCTACCCGTAAACAAAGCCGGTTGTCAATGACGGGGCGGAGTGGCCGAGTGCAGCGGCCGGCGAGAGTCGAGCGCAGCCGACCGGCCTCTCCGCACACCTGGCACGGCCGAGCGGTGATTTTTTTACCACCGTCCACTTTCATCAGTGTCATTAGGATTATTGTAAGCTGATCGTTTATGTGCCTGGGAAAATTCCGCAGAATGATGGCATTCTTACATGCAGCCTAGTTGGCATCATAAAACTACTGATGTCTCACCGCAAGGCTTGCAGATGTCGAACAGGACGACTTGGAAGGAGGTTGGACGGGTGGTAGAGGGACGGTTTTCTGATCCCAAGCTGCCTTTATTCATGCTTATCCTTATGATCAAGTTAGTGATTTTCGATTTCCATCGCCTTTGGCGCCTTTGATTTTATATTGACGTTAGAACGGCAAGCGACGGTGCGTTTTAGGACTGTGAATGAACGGACGGCTAGTGCTCACGGGCACTAGACGTATAGGAACAATGCAGTATATGCCATTCAGTCAGCGGATGGATAGATTTAGACGGTGCAGTATTTTCGGACAATGGACGGATGGACGGTGTATGCAGTATGTATGTTGTTGTTGACAGTGTGGCGTCATGCGGACACTCCGTGCGACAGGTCTCCGTGTCTGCTGGACAGGGGGCGTAAATGGGCTTATACAGGCGACCGGTCGGATCAGGAGCGATGTCCGATTAGACGGGGCCCGCCGGGACAGAGGCCGGCTCCGGTCAGTCCACGAGCACGCCAACAAAGACAACAGGTTCTCCTCTCGGCTGATCTGGCTCTGTTGGAAGAAGCGGAAGAGCAACAAAAACGCTGATGGATTTATCGGCATGCAAGCAGCCGCCTTGTGATTATATAATGGGACGTGTGCTATCACTGTTCACGGAAATATGCGACAGGTTTATCAGGGGAGAAATCGTGACCACCGACATGAAAACCATGACCGTCTAATAAACGTTCAATGAACTCGCCCAAAGCTGTTATTTCAGTGGAATGCCGCCATCCAGAACACCATTGTGCGATGCAGCTGTAGGTACTAGAGACGTTCTACGAACAGAGTGACAAGTCATTCACATGAAACGCATACGGTTTGATTCGGTATGCAGATAGGTACACGCAATGCCCTTTTTGTAGTCTAACGTCTTCCAATCAGCGTCTTGGTCGGGTCAACACTACCATGGAATAACTATGGAAGCGATTGAGTTAGGTCTCTTGTCTCAAAGCCACAAATGTGAGCCGCCAGCTATTTAGGACCTGACCGCTCGCCCCCGTGTTGTTTGATTACGGTCAGCTGGCAACACCTCGGGCGAGACTGGTCACGTGACTGATAGCGGTGAGATGCCTTAGAAATGTAAAAACAGGCGTTTTATCACCAAAGCCGTCGCGATTCACTGCAGCAAGATATGGCGCCAATATTCGGCGCAAGAAGGTAGGCTGCACCGCATAGCCGCATATTCCATCACGAGATGGCACCACCATTGAGCGCCTGATGGCATGGCGCACCGCCAGCTGCACGCATACTGTGTCAAGAGATGTCGCTAGCCTTCAGCGCCTGAAGATATGCTGCGCCGCAAATCTGCATATTCTCCCGAGAGATGGCGCTACTATCCAGCGCCTGAAGGTATGCTGCACCGCAAATCTGCATATTCTCTCAAGAGATGGCGCTACGGTCTAGCGCCTGAAGGTATGCTGCACCGCATATCTGCATATTCTGTCAAGAGGTGGCGCTACCCATAGGTGTAGCAACGTATCTCTTTGGTGAAGAATACCTTTCACCAAAGTTTTAGATTGGTGAAGGATCCTTCACCAATCTTGAGCAATGCAGGTGAGGGTCTTCACCAATGCTAGAACGACTGGGTTCGACGGTCGATCTAATGTTAAAAAAAGAAAAGCAATGCCGAATGGGATGAACAAAAAGGCTAAAACGGCAACAGGTACCCAATTACCCCATCCTTTCAGTTATGAAGTGTTATGCCCACCTTCTTCACAATTCACGCCACAATTCACCAGTATAACGCCTTTTGGGGCGACTAACGGAGCAAGCGAGAGGGTGAGCTTTGCACGTGCGAAATTTCGACGGGGTACCTCCAGCTGACTTGTGCACGGCACCCTACTAACCGGTCTCTAGCGATGTGCCAAATTTGAGCACAATCGGCCCAGTCGTTCTCGAGATCTGGAAGCGGCACCCTGCACGTGTGCACGTGCAAAATGGGCCCGAACTGACTTTTGCACGGCACCCTACTAACCGGTCCCTAACTGTGTACCAAATTTGAGCGCCATCGGTCCAGCCATTCTCGAGATCTGGAATCGACCCCTGCACGTGCGCACGTGCAGCAGCATCCCAACTCTGGCACATGGATATGCATTGCCTAGTGGGTGCCTACCTACATGCCAACTTTCAGCGCAATCGGCCAAGTAGTTACCGAAATATTGCAACAATTACAAAAGTGACACCTCTTCGTTTTGCACGTGGCACGTGGATAAGGGGTCACCCACATGCATCGGGAATAGTCCAATACTTGGTAGAAGGAATGAAGCTACCCTACAAAAATTACCGCGTGTAAATCGGTCAAGTGGTTGCTGAGATATAAGCGTCGCAGAATCGTGACCACGGCCGGCCGGCCGGCCGCTCATACTCAGAAATTTCCGTTAATCTAAGGAAAGACTACGCTCGCTTCGCTCGCTCCGTAATGATAGGTAAAGCCGAAAACTGTACTGAAGTTGGTAAAAGTGTAAATGTGTCTCAGTCAGGGGGAAGCACTCGTCTTGGCCGTATATGGGCCAGAATGTCTAACGATTTCCGCCATGTTGTGTATACCAAAGTCTTGAAAAGTTGATCACTGCAATCAAACTGCAAGCATGAAGCAGCAGCACTTTTGAGTAGTGTACGTCTCACTAAACTGCACCTCTGCTACCGTACATGCAATTTATATTTCTGGTATACACAACATGGCGGAAATCGATAGACAAAAACAAGTAACCAATACGTCTGTCAAGACAGCCTCAGATTCAGATTCACTTTCAGAATCACATTCGGACCCCCTTAGATTTTCATAAAAACTGGTCCATAGGTACAGTTTTGGACGCTGATTCCAATGGTGAAGTCTGTTTTTCGCCACATATTATACTTTGGCCCCTAGAGGCATTCAAAGTTTTTTGGGGGCGAAGGGGGACCCCCTTAGATTTTCATAAAAACTGGTCCATGTGTACAGTTTTGGACGCTGATTCCAACGGTGGAGTCTGTTTTTCGCCACATATTATACTTTGGCCCCTAGAGGCATTCAAAGTTTTTTGGGAGAAGGGGGACCCCCTTGGATTTTCATAAAAACTGGTCCATGTGTACAGTTTTGGACGCTGATTCTAATGGTGAAGTCTGTTTTTCGCCACATATTATACTTTGCCCCCTAAAGGCATTCAAAGTTTTTTGGGGCGAAGGGGGACCCCCTTAGATTTTCATAAAAACTGGTCCATGGGTACAGTTTTGGACGCTGATTCCAATGGTGAAGTCTGTTTTTCGCCACATATTATACTTTGGCCCCTAGAGACATTTAAAGTTTTTTTGGGGCGAAGGGGGACCCCCTTAGATTTTCATGAAAACTGGTCCATGTGTACAGTTTTGGACGCTGATTCCAACGGTGAAGTCTGTTTTTCGCCACATATTATACTTTGGCCCCTAGAGGCATTCAAAGTTTTTTTGGGGGAAGGGGGACCCCCTTAGATTTTCATAAAAACTGGTCCATGTGTACAGTTTTGGACGCTGATTCCCATGGTGAAGTCTGTTTTTCGCCACATATTATACTTTGGCCCCTAGGGCATTCAGATTCACACATTCGGACCCCCTTAGATTTTCATAAAAACTGGTCCATGGGTACAGTTTTGGACGCTGATTCCAATGGTGAAGTCTGTTTTTCGGCACATATTATACTTTTGCCCCTAGAGGCATTCAAAGTTTTTTTTGGGGCGAAGGGGGACCCCTTAGATTTTCATAAAAACTGGTCTATGTGTACAGTTTTGGACGCTGATTCCAACGGTGAAGTCTGTTTTTCGCCACATATTATACTTTGGCCCCTAGAGGCATTCAAAGTTTTTTGGGAGAAGGGGGACCCCCTTGGATTTTCATAAAAAACTGGTCCATGTGTACAGTTTTGGACGCTGATTCCAATGGTGAAGTCTGTTTTTCGTCACATATTATACTTTGGCCCCTAGAGGCATTCAAAGTTTTTTGGGGCGAAGGGGGACCCCCTTAGATTTTCATAAAAACTGGTCCATGGGTACAGTTTTGGACGCTGATTCCAATGGTGAAGTCTGTTTTTCGCCACATATTATAGCCCCTAGAGACATTTAAAGTTTTTTTAGGGCGAAGGGGGACCCCCTTAGATTTTCATGAAAACTGGTCCAGGTGTACAGTTTTGGACGCTGATTCCAACGGTGAAGTCTGTTTTTCGCCACATATTATACTTTGGCCCCTAGAGGCATTCAAAGTTTTTTTGGGGGGAAGGGGGACCCCCTTAGATTTTCATAAAAACTGGTCCATGTGTACAGTTTTGGACGCTGATTCCCATGGTGAAGTCTGTTTTTGCCACATATTATACTTTGGCCCCTAGGGCATTCAGATTCACTTTCAGAATCACATTCGGACCCCCTTAGATTTTCATAAAAACTGGTCCATGGGTACAGTTTTGGACGCTGATTCCCATGGTGTGTCGTTTCGGGAACTAGCGAATGAAGTTTAGTACCGCCGTTCACCGGTGGATGGCGCTAGCTGGTAGTTTCGGCGAAAACTCCATCTGAGATGTTTGAAGGCTTCCCTTAATCCCTTGTTCAAACATGGACCCCGTCAGCCCCGGCAGAGGTATTTGTCCAGTGTACACCGCACCTGAGGACGGGTCAGCTGAGGGAGGGGAGTCACTATTGTGGCCTTAGGAATGCCGCGCCGGTCGGGGGACGGGGTCGGGAGGAGGGGGAGAGAGGCAGCGCCGTTCTTGCGGTGACGGGCTGGGTTGTCGCCTCAGCCTGGCATACGCTCAGTCCGCGAGGCGATGCGCATGACCCGGGAGCAGCTGAGAGTCCATGACTCCATATAGACAATTGGCTCGTTTGTAAGCACGAACACTTGGAATGTTGCTGGTGCAGAATTTAACCCTATTCCTGGCGG